ATATATATTGTAAATTGGTACAAAGGCCTCTTTGTAAATACTTTAAATGCATCTAGTTCTAGGTACGGTACCATCGATACATATCGAGAGGTTACTCTCCCGCTGTGGAGATTCGGGTTCGAGTACCGATTGAAAACTAGGAATTTTTCATGACCGATCTGTGCCGGATATCTAGATATACCAGGCCGTCTCTCACTACCAACTTGTTGTTGTCTGGCATGAGTACAATTTAAAAAAAGATTAACTTATTAACTGTAAAATAGAAATATTTATTTATTTATTTATTTTTTTAAACTCTTAGAGTGATAGACTGCACTTTAATCGCTTGGTCATCCTGCCATCGAACACAGTCAATTTTTTTTTTAAAGCTATAATAGAATGTTACTTTTTATTTTTTTAATTTATTTTAAGAAGGCAGAAAGTAATATTTAAATAATATTGAATGATTTTATTAGTTAATAAAAATTTCGAAAAACTATAACGTTTTAATATTCAAATTTTTCGAGTTGGCAACACTTTAACGAAGACGCCACGTTCGATACAAGACAGATGTAAACATATGCGAGGCAAGTCACCATCTCCTTATCTTACCTTTAAATTAATTTATTTTATATAAATTACAGAAACGATTGAATAAAATCATAAGAGAAGAATTGAAAAATTTATAAAGAAGTTAATCTTTTTATATATTTATTAAATTAAATTTTTGTATGGGATGATTTAAATATGAGGTGAAAGTTGACCCCTTTGACCTCTACCTGTCACATGTCAGCAATTTTAGATACCCCTGCTGATGTCACACCTGATCTGCCACCCCCTAAAACAGATCTACAGTACATTAATTTATTCCTATTTCCTGTCAATGTAAGGCCAATTTTAAAAATAGGCCAATAAAAATATAATTCACTGATTTACCACAGAGGAAGAGTCTGATGACATTGTATTAAATGACTCCTAAACTACAGTTAATATGTTATATACCGGTACATCTTTCAGAAGTATATCTGTAATCTGTAACTGTAAAGGTTAAATTGTCACCTGTATTATTTCGTGTTAAAAGTTCTACTAGAATAGGTTGACTGGACATCTCCAATTTTGCCTGTTTTTAATGTTTGATTGTAGGATCAATCTTTGAATAGAGCAATTTTATTAACATGCCAATATAATATCTAGATTTATATATGTATATAAACTTATTAATATGTAAAATTCATGTTATAAACATGCTAATTTTAGAAAAGAAATAGCCATAATGGTACCATGAGTGGAGATAGAGCCCTTTGGGGAAGCAAGACATAAAAATCATAGTGCAAATACTTAAATTTCTGCCAATTGCTATTCCATTGTTTCGAATAATATCACATAAATGGTTTAATATTTATATTAATATTAAGTATCAATTTTAAAATACAGGCCACACATTTAGTCTAAGTTTCATGCAGTAAGACGTATTTCTTGCACTAGAAAGGTCTATGTGATACTACTTATGATACCATAGAACGTGGTAGCCAGAAGCACAAATAATTCAAACGTAGAATAAATAATAAATATTCAACCAAATTCTCAATTGTACTGGAGAATGGCATGCTTAACTAATTATAGTGCGATATAACACATACCTTCTACAGAATGGATATTTGCTACCAGTTTGGAGGTAGAAATTTCTGTTTATACCCTTGAATGGCGTTCTGTAGGTATATTTATCGGCATGTAGTCCCATAACAGAACAGGGGTTGCTTGCGTTACATGTACATTTTCCAGAAAGAAATTCGAAATAGTCGAAACACGGGACACTCACAAAACAATTGGGATGTCTTATTGAGGCTATGAAGTATTCGGTGGAAATCATATGATCGCAAGCAGCTGTGTACAATAAGGCTGAAATTAAAAATTAAATGATGTTAAAACAAATTCTACCACTATATACTGTATAAAAATAGCAAATTCGTGGTGTATAAGTGAAGTATGACAGAGGAGAGTAATGCCATGTCGAATGATTCCATGGCTTCGAGCCATGGAATCATTTTTGAAGGATCAGATTGGAGGGCAAGTAGGATCCTCGAAAGTTTTCATAGATGGCTTTATGCAGATTCCTCAAGAATCGTTTGCATTACCCATATTATCTACTTATCCCAACAAGGAAAGGTGCCAATTTCCAAAATTTTCAGAAAGAAGGTCATTTCATACTTTTCAATACTATTTTATATACGTAACCTAATGACAACTGGGGTATTTCCGGGTGTTTTTCCGCAGTGGGTAATAACACGTCCGTTTTAATTACAATCATTATTAATTTGGCCAGGCCCACAATGGCGAAATACGGGGCCAATATATCCGCGACTATTTATAAATTAAATCTACTATATATTAAAATAACTTACCATCGAATAAGTTTCTGGCAAGTTGTTTTCTTGAGGCTAATGACTGACAAGCAGGATTATAGTCTCCCCCATTGACGTAAAAATCGACGTCACCCATTACTGGTACTGTATTATAATCTAAGGATAGAAATAATATAAATTGGAAGAAATTAATTTAAAAATAATAAATATAGGACCTATTATTTAATAATTTTGTTAGAATAATTTTATAACCTCTAATGACAAACATAAGTCTTTCAGTGTCAGTATGAATGATATCGACAAACACGGCGTCGTGTACATTCAACTGAATTTCCGAAGGAACATTTCTGATGTGAGGATCCAAGCCTGAAAAGTACAGTTTCAATTACTTTCTTAATACTTTGTTATAGAAATATTACGAGAACGATATTCGTTATGATTTCTTAAAGAGATTCCCTTGTATAGAATATTAACACATGGCGTGATATTCTGAAAGATCATGCCATGCTAAAATGCGGTCAAATTAGAAAGGACCCAAAGGATGGTCCTATTGATTATAACTAAGGCGTACAGTACTACTACCATACGTGTAATAAGTGGGCTTTTATCTATAGATCTAGAATTAGATAAGTGCTGTTGTAATGCCCGAATAAAGAAAGGCATGGTTTTTAAGGTATAATGGAGAGATGTTCGACGACAGAAATAGCTCTGCCAAGGCTATGAAGAAAAGAGGTGTCAGAAAAAGTCAATGGCACGTGGCAAGACCGGTGGAACAGGTGTACGAAAGTAAACTTAAGTCGTTCCACCTGATCGGTAGTGACCTTTGTGAGTATGGTGTCGTCGACACCCTCCGATATTTTATTTTAGTATGTCATTTTTTTACAGTGAGATAAAGAAGTTAAAGGGTATATACTAAACATAGACCCCTCTCATAGTGTTACATTTAATGAGTTTTGCACCAACTAAGTGCGCACTAAGATTATATATAATGGTGCATACAAAATTTTAAACGGTATGTTAGTACGTAGGATGGTTTTAAGGGTTGGTGTGCAATCCAGGTTTTTATTTATATTGATTTTATGTTATATTGTTGTATTGCATATTCTATGATGTAAGGTCCCGGTGTTTAATTTAGTCAAGATGTTTTATGGGGCTTCTACTATACCTTATTATATGGTATTTTAAAATTTAAATATATGTTGTATATAAGGGTATTTTATATGGTTTTATATAGGTTTATATACGAGTATATTGTTTTATATGATATATACATGATTTATATAGATCTAATGTAGTTTAAGTCTGTATGTCTGGGCACATTGGTATACCAAGTGCGCCATGCAGACTTGTAATGGGTCTCATTACAAGGTATACCTATATACCTATAAATAAAACTTACATACCTTAAAAGGTATATGGATTTTATTTATACATAGTTTTAATATAGTTATAAAGGTTTTATATATAGGTTTTAATTGTATATAGGTATTATGTTGTCTCCTCCTTCTCGGGGAAGGCAAAAGGAGGGAAGCAGTAGCGTCCATAAACGTCCTGATGCTAGTTTAGCCTATTATATGGAAACACTGTGCTCAGTATCTGGGGCGATATAATTATTATACCCTCACCTATCGCGTTGCCACAACCAAATACTCTTTAAATTTTTGTCATGTGAAGAAACCCGGAAAATTCTACGTGGCCAGCTTGTTAGTGAGGTGTCACTAACTAGGTTTTTTTCAATTGGCCACTTTACCAATCGATAGTCAGTGTACGTTTCTATGATAAAAAATAAGTATACTTTTACCTGTAATTCTTCCGATTCCCTTAATATGCTTTCCGGCGTAACCTGCCACATGTGATCCCAAACTATGTCCAATAATATGGAACTTTTCTAGTCTAGCTCCTTTGATAACCTGAACGTCATAAAATACTACACTACATTTGTATCTCTTGATATATAGGGAAATCATTATATCTAAAGCCTTATATACGTTTATTACTATTATAATCATTATAAAAATTTCAATTTATAAATAGAAAGTGGGCAATTTTTACCTGAAGACCTTTGATAAGAATGACAACCTCAGTTCCAACTACTCTCGAATTAGCTATGGCTTGATCTCTTTTTGTGAATGAACTTCCTCTACTCCAGTCCACTAATATCACGTTGTAGTGCCCTTCAGATAATAGCTCATCTTTCATCCTCTACATAAATATTTTTATCATTATATAATAAAATATAGGAATAATTAGAAATATAAATTTACCCTCATCCAAGTGGAAAGAAACACGCCGTTCATGTATCCATGAACAATTATTTTTGTGGGCAATTCAGGATTGAAGCTGCTTTTCCATATTGTTGTAGAATTATCTACGTTAAGAATCTCTTTTACGTGAGGGTGTCGAGTAGTATATAAATAAAATACTGTACCAATACTCTTCCTGTCTTCAGCACTGTACGCTATTTTCAGATCAATAGGAAGAGGTGAAATTGATCTAGGATCGAAACAAGGAGAGTTCTTTGTACAAGTTATTCGTTGTTTTGTAGAATCTGCAAAATTAAAAGTATATTTTATCATTTACGGATGGAATTATAGTATAATAGTGTAGAGAGAGAGAGAGCAATGGCGCGATACCTTCATGAGGCTCAAGCACATTTGTATTAGGAAATCCCATGTACTACACAGTGCTGACTTTATATATTTTTCTTCGAGGAGAGGGAATATTTTCTTATAAAAGATTGGTTTGTGATCCCCTGTTGGTGGGGGCCCCAGACAATTGCCCTTTAAGCCCGTAGAGAGAGGAAAGTAAGGAACAGATTTATCGAGCCAAGTTATAAAGGATCTATTTTTGATTGATGAGATTGGAGTGCAGGTGGTATCCTCGATTATTCTCGTGTTCATTATTTATGAAATAAATGTAAGAATATAATGCAGTGCATCCCGCTTTCGTAACCTAATTAATTCTTGAAGGACCGTCGTAAAACGAACCGTCCCATTTCCCATGGCTCAATATCACAAATTGAAATTACGTTGTAATGGATAAGATTTTAAACAGATAATACAATAGAGTAATGACTACAAAAAATGCAATGTATTTAATATAATTATACTAAATAATTTATACTGTCGTTAAAAAACTAGTTTTAACCTCAAACATTGGCTTATTGATAAGATTAAATCAATGCATTTTTTTAGATTTTATATTTTAGATTATTTTTTAGATTTTAAAAATACAAAAATAGACATTTTAATTACATCTATAATTAGATCTTCTATCCTTATATTTTAAGATGAATAAATAAACAAATTATAATGAGATGGAGAAAAAAGACGAGAAAAAGATAAGGAGGATGTGGAAGAGTAAGAGAAGAAAGATGATAAGAAGCTGGAAGGATGACGAGGAATGGAGGAAGAGGAGGATGACTGTCCTTGTATTCTTTTATAGGGAGGATATTAGATATACGTTTATGTGTAATATATCATTAACCTCTTTAATTCTATGGTAAAAGATATTAAAGTGATGCCACGACCCACTACTAAATGAAATTAATCAAGTAAATTTGAGTAATTTTTATATATATATAAAAAAATAGAATTTGTTAATTAAGTTAACTTGTTATCTGTAACAAGACGATACATCTCTCTTTAAAATGTATTAATTTTAAGTTAATCTTGTTCTAGATCAGACTAACATTGCCCCAATTATTTCCAGAATATATGAAATATAAATTAATAAGTAATTTTTTAAACACTCCATTAAATTCCTGTACAAAATTCCGATCTGATTATCAGGAGACTGACACCAAAATAATATTTGCACGCAATTGAATTGATCCGTTTGCGTATCTGTCTTCACAAGATCAAGACTAATCTGATTTACAAGGACTTCGAGTGGTAGAACCATTAGAAAATGAGCGTTTAACGCTCTTTTTTTTTAAAAATACAATTTAACCCTCCTAGTTATTAAATAATAGCATTCAACCGTTTTAATTATTATGTAATCGAAGTAGAAACTATTTTACGTCATAAATGAAAGGCTAGAGGCGATTTTCCGTCAAGGTCATTAACGATTAAGCCTCTAGCATCGTTTGCTCTACGTCTTCTGTTCCAGATCTGAAGTTAATAGGAAAAAAAAAAAAATAGTTTAACAGTTTTCTATACGTGAGGAAAACGCAAATACGCTTATTAAATCAACCAATAAAAACAATGCTTGCGTGTTTTACGAATACTCGTAGCTGTAACACAAGAGGCCCTTCTCCTGTGATAATAATAAATTGTGAAAGAGCGAGGCCTTAAACTATGCCATCGTAGTACGAGGTCCTAAGCTATAGCTCACTTTCCACGTATTAATTTTAATATCAGCAACGTCAGTTTTAGATGTAAGCAATCTAGGAATTTGGTTAAGGCCTCGAGCTGGTAGAGGCCTCAGACACTGGCAAATACATCTCGTCAATACTTAAGTATACAGAAACTAGTTAGGATTCTAGAATCTAGTACAGTCGACCCCCTATAACACTGTTGATTATTCCGTTTTATATGAATTCCATGTTGTACGAGTCACTTAGATTTTACAAATATGTGTGCCGGGCTGTGAATGGCTCACATATTTGTAAAATCTAAGTGACTCGTACAACATGGAATTCATATAAAACGGAATAATCAACAGTGTTATAGGGGGTCGACTGTACTAGATTCTAGAATCCTAACTAGTTTCTGTATACTTAAGTATTGACGAGATGTATTTGCCAGTGTCTGAGGCCTCTACCAGCTCGAGGCCTTAACCAAATTCCTAGATTGCTTACATCTAAAACTGACGTTGCTGATATTAAAATTAATACGTGGAAAGTGAGCTATAGCTTAGGACCTCGTACTACGATGGCATAGTTTAAGGCCTCGCTCTTTCACAATTTATTATTATCACAGGAGAAGGGCCTCTTGTGTTACAGCTACGAGTATTCGTAAAACACGCAAGCATTGTTTTTATTGGTTGATTTAATAAGCGTATTTGCGTTTTCCTCACGTATAGAAAACTGTTAAACTATTTTTTTTTTTTTCCTATTAACTTCAGATCTGGAACAGAAGACGTAGAGCAAACGATGCTAGAGGCTTAATCGTTAATGACCTTGACGGAAAATCGCCTCTAGCCTTTCATTTATGACGTAAAATAGTTTCTACTTCGATTACATAATAATTAAAACGGTTGAATGCTATTATTTAATAACTAGGAGGGTTAAATTGTATTTTTAAAAAAAAAGAGCGTTAAACGCTCATTTTCTAATGGTTCTACCACTCGAAGTCCTTGTAAATCAGATTAGTCTTGATCTTGTGAAGACAGATACGCAAACGGATCAATTCAATTGCGTGCAAATATTATTTTGGTGTCAGTCTCCTGATAATCAGATCGGAATTTTGTACAGGAATTTAATGGAGTGTTTAAAAAATTACTTATTAATTTATATTTCATATATTCTGGAAATAATTGGGGCAATGTTAGTCTGATCTAGAACAAGATTAACTTAAAATTAATACATTTTAAAGAGAGATGTATCGTCTTGTTACAGATAACAAGTTAACTTAATTAACAAATTCTATTTTTTTATATATATATAAAAATTACTCAAATTTACTTGATTAATTTCATTTAGTAGTGGGTCGTGGCATCACTTTAATATCTTTTACCATAGAATTAAAGAGGTTAATGATATATTACACATAAACGTATATCTAATATCCTCCCTATAAAAGAATACAAGGACAGTCATCCTCCTCTTCCTCCATTCCTCGTCATCCTTCCAGCTTCTTATCATCTTTCTTCTCTTACTCTTCCACATCCTCCTTATCTTTTTCTCGTCTTTCTTCTCCATCTTATTATAATTTGTTTATTTATTCATCTTAAAATATAAGGATAGAGGATCTAATTATAAATGTAATTAAAATGTCTATTTTTGTATTTTTAAATAAATTTGATTTCTGAACTTAAAACATTA